GAATTTGGTAAAGTTACAGGATACAAAATTAATGCACAGAAATCTCTTGTATTCCTATACACTAATGATGAAACATCTGAAAGAGAAATTAAGAAAACACTCCCATTTACCATTGCAACAAAAAGAATAAAATACCTAGGAATAAACCTACATAGGGAGACAAAAGGCCTGTATGCAGAAAACTATAAGACACTGATGAAAGAAATTAAAGATGATACCAAAAGATGGAGAGATATACCATGTTCTTGGATTGGTCGAATCAATATTGTGAAAATGACTACACTACCCAAAGCGATCTACAGATTTAATGCAATCCCTATCAAATTACCAATGACATTTTTTATGGAACTAGAACAAAAAATCTTAAAATTTGTATGGAGACACAAAAGACCCTGAATAGCCAAAGCAGTCTTGAGGAAAAAAAAAGGAGCTGGCAGAATCAGACTCCATAACTTCAGACTATACTACAAAGCTACAGTAATCAAGAAAATATGGTACTGGCACAAAAACAGAAACATAGATCAATGGAACAACATAGAAAGCCCAGAGGCAAACCCACGCACCTATGGTCCACTAATCTATGCCAAAGGAGGCAAGGATATACAATGGAGAAAAGACAGTCTCTTCAATAAGTGGTGCTAAGGAAACTGGACAGCTACATGTAAAAGAATGAAATTAGAACACTCCCTAACACCATACACAAAAATAAAGTCAAAATGGATTCGAGACCTAATGTAAGACCGGACACTATAAAACTCTTAGAGGAAAACATAGGAAGAACACTCTTTGACATAAATCACAGCAAGATCTTTTTTGGTCCACCTCTTAGAGTAATGGAAATAAAAACAAAAATAAACAAATGGGACCTAATGAAACTTCAAAGCTTTTGCACAGCAAAGGAAACCATAAACAAGACAAAAAGCCTACCCTCAGAATGGGAGAAAATATTTGCAAATGAAGCAACTGACAAAGGATTAATCCCCCAAATTTACAAACAGCTCATGCAACTCAATATCAAAAACAACAAACAAAGCCCAATCCAAAAATGGGCAGAAGACCTAAATAGGCATTTCTCCAAAGAAGATATACAGATTGCCAACAAAGACATGAAAGGATGCTCTAATCATTAGAGCAAAACAAATCAAAACTACAATGAGGTATCACCTCACACCAGTCAGAATGGCCATCATCAAAACATCTACAAACAATAAATACTGGAGAGGGTGTGGAGGAATGGTAACCCTCTTCCACTGTTGGTGGGAATGTAAATTGGTACAGCCACTATGGAGAACAGTACGGAGGTTCCTTAAAAAACTAAAAATAGAACTACCATACGACCCAGCAATCCCACTACTGGGCGTATACCCTGAGAAAACCTTAATTCAAAAAGAGTGATGTACCACAATGTTCATTGCAGCTTTATTTATAATAGCCAGGACATGGAAGCAACCTAAGTGTCCATCGACAGATGAAGAGATAAAGAAGATGTGGCATATATATACAATGGAATATTTCTCAGCCATAAAAAGAAACAAAATTGAGTTATTTGTAGTGAGGTGGATGGACCTAGAGTCTGTCATACGGAGTGAAGTAAGTCAGAAAGAAAAAAACAAATACCGTATGCTAACACATATATATGGAACCTAAAAAATAATAAAAAGGCTATGAAGAACCTAGGAGCAGGACAGGAATAAAGATGCAGATGTAGAGAATGCACTTGGGGACACGGGGGTGGGGAAGGGTAAGCTGGGACGAAGTGAGAGAGTGGCATGGACATATATACACTACCAAACGTAAAATAGATAGCTAGTGGAAAGCAGCTGCATAGCACAAGGAGATCACCTCAGTGCTTTGTGACCACCTAGAGGGGTGGGATAGGGATGGTTGGAGGGAGACGCAAGAGGAAGGAGATAGGGAGATATATGTATATGTATAGCTGAGTCACTTTGTTATAAAGCAGAAACTAACACCATTGTAAAGCAATTACAGTCCGCTAAAGACGTTAAAAAAAAAAAGTCAAGAAACATTGCTGGAGAGGCTGTGGAGAAAAGGGAGCCCTCCTACACTGTTGGTGGGAATGTAAATTGGTGCAGCCACTATGGAGAATAGTATGGAAATTCCTCAAAAAAGTAAAAATAGAGTTACTATATGATCCTGTAATTCCACTCTTGGGCAAGTGCTAGTTCAAAAAGATATATGCACCCCAATGTTTATAGCAGCAATATTTACAATAGCCAAGACATGGCAGCAACCTAAATATCATCATTAGATGAATGAATAAAGAAGATGTGGTACATATACATACGATGGACTATTACTCAGCCATAAAAAAGAATGAAATAATGCCATTGCAGGAACATGGATGGACTTAGACATTGCCATACTGAGTGAAGTCAGACAGAGAAAGACAAATATCATATGATATCACTTATCACTAAAAAAATGATGCAAATGAACTTATTTATAAAACAGAAATAGACTCACAGACATAGAAAACAAAATTATGGTTACCAAGGGGGCTAGCAGGCAGGGATGAGATAAATTTGGAGTTTGGGATTAACATGTATACCCTACTATATATAAAATAGATAACCAGCAAGGGCTTACTGTATAGCACAGGGAACTATACTCAATATCTTGTAATAACCTACAATGGAAAGAATCTGATAACGAATATATATACATATACATATATATATGTACGTATATGAAACTGAATCACTTTGCTGTACACATTGTAACTATACTTCTATTTAAAAAAGTATTTGCAAATATATTTGCGCAAAGATTTCTATTGTAGAATTTTTATAATAGCTAAAAACTGGAGACAACCTAGTTGACTTGCTAATAAAACACGAAAGATATCCAAGATATATCAAGTAAAAAATGCAAGTTGCATAACTATATGTGTAATATGATTGTACTTGTAAAAAATTCTATGCCTTTATGTTTATAATATATTTTAATATTTCTAGAAAAATATACCTGAAAGTACCCTTTTGTTCCATTTGACTTTTTATCGTGAAAGTTTATGTATTCTTCCAGAATAATAAATTATTAAAAAGTTGTGTTAAACCTGGCCACAAAGGATGAGAGATATTATAATGTAGATTTACATTGAGTTGGATAGGCTCATTTTTCAACCTGGCTTTACCTTTGCTAGCTGTGTCTCTAAGCTGGTTACTTCACCTCTCTAAGCTTCAGTTTCCTCTCCTGCAAACTGAGGATAAAAATGATCTCATTTTTAACCTCAGTGGTTTATTTTAAAGATTAAATGAGATATTGCATGTCAAGTACTAAGCACAGGGCCTGGCACATACAAGGGCTCAGTAAGTATTTATGATGGTGATGATGATGATGGTAGTGACAATGTAATAAGTATTCCTTTTTCTTGTAGTTCTCCATGATGTGTCCTAGTTCTAGGACTCAGACACAATCATTTAGCAAGAAGTCCTTTAGGTGTAATAGCACCAGCATAAATAATAGGCATTTGCACCAGGGATCATAGAAACAAAGGAATGAGGATGTGTATAAAATCACGAATACAGAGTGTGAGGGGTATGATGTGCTGGTCCACTGTGTTGTGAAGAGGGAGGGAGTGGCACTTGGTCAGAAGTACATGCCTGTGTGGTGGATCTAAAAGGTGAGTGTGTAAACCATGCGGTAAGAGTTCCTGTGAACCTTAGAGGAAAATTGGCTGAGGCAGGTGCTGCCTACCACTGGGGGGAGAAGAATGGACTAGTTGAATGGAAAAAAATCAAATCTGCAATCAGGTAGCCTGCTAGATGCCAAAGAGGTGGCTGCCCCAGCCACCTTGATGGGATGCTGGCTCCTGGGCTGGTATGCCTAAATCAACCTGCTCATGTGATTTTGTCTGTATTTCTTATGATACTCAGGGACCCAGCCAAGGGAGACTAAGAGTATCAGCCTGTATTTTGCTTTATGTACTTCAGAAAGCATTTGCATGTTATTTCATGGTCTCGTGTTTCTCTGGGTTTGTATCCCAGGAGCAGTGACTCCCAGCTTCTCCTTTAGCATGTCTCCTTCCAGGAACCTTTGAGTCTGACATACACCATATTCCCTGTGCACCAAAATAATAGGATTCTAGGGTTGAGGATGACCCTGATATTCATCTAGTTCAATTTTCTCACTTTGTGAATGAGGAAATTGAGGTCAATATAGGGAAATATGCTTGGCCAAGTTCATAGAGCTAGTATCTTCAGAACCAACACTAGAACATTCATCTCAACAGCCCTTAGCATACTTTTGCTCTACCATAAGAGTGGCCTGTAGGGGATCATCACAAAGCAGATTCAGAGATGACAAGAAGCAGTTTTCCTTTGGCTTTTATACCTAAAGGCAAGATGTCAGACTGCTTAGAGAATGAAAGAATTTGATTAATGGGTGACCATTTTCACTCCATGTCATCCTGCTTTCACCTCTGTGTCCCCACTGCTTTAAGAATCACTTTGTAAACTAACTTGGATTGTTTGTGATTGTATACCCTGAAAAGCTATGTACCTAGCTAATATTAATATAGAATTTTTAATATGGAAATGTGAGGCATGTTTATATCCCTGGTAGTGAAAGAAGCTCAAGAGTAGAAGTTTGTTGGAAGTCAAAGAGAGAAAAACCAGGATAAAGAATGACCTGACCTTTCTGGGGGCAACGAAACCTATACCTAAAATTCGTTATTTTCCCTTTTGTATCGTAATTGCAGATCAAAATATAGTCTTGGTTCTAAAAACCTTCTTTGCATTTTTAGTGAGGAGTTTTGATCACATTCAAGAAGACTTCTTGAACTGTGCTGCTGGGAAGGTCCAGGTTCCTGAAAGCGCAGACACAGGAAGGATCCCAGACTTTCAACTGGAAATTCTATGTGCAGGAAATATGCTGGGTGGTCACACCAGCAAACAGGAGTGCTGGAGCTCCATTTCTGCTGCCGGGGAGAGAAAGCAGTCAGTCCCTGGTTGTGCTGTCTGTGGGCAGGACCAACTCACCTATGACACTGAGTAGCATCACCTCACTCTGCTGGACCCCCAGGCCATTGTCGGCCTTACAGGAGTAGTTTCCAGAATGGTTCGTGGTCAGAGAGAGGCAGAAGGATGCTCCCCCTCCCAAGGGAGCTGAGCTGTTTCCCACAGCGACATCCTTGTGATAAAACTGGTACAGGATCGGGGGAGAGCCTCTCTGGGCCTCACAGTGAAGCTCTATCATGTCCCCCACCACAGTCTGGGCCCTGGAAGCCCTGAGGGTGAGGACAGGCTGAGACACTGGAACTGAAGGAAAAAAGATAGTTAACCATCAGTTCATGCTGTTTAAATACGTTCTTCTATAGAAAAGACATTTCAAACAGGAAAATGTTTTTAATGACCTTGTGACATCACTCAGAACTCAGCTATAATTGCTTCATATCTGAAGAAACAAATCATTTGTGTAGTGTTATATATAGTC